TTCCATGAAAAAATATTATCTAAGTTTGTCTAACGTAAGCCTAACAGGCTGATTGGAGGTTTAAGAGTGCTTTGATAATGTACATTTTTATACCTAGTATACATAGCGAATGACTTAAACTTAACTAGTTAAAGTCTGCAATCAGTAAGACCATAAAAATGTCAGTGTTATTTTAACAGCGAAGTTTAATATAACTTAAGTTTAGGCTAGAGCGAAGTTAGCCTGAAAAATTAAAAGAACAACGATCTGAAGTGGCGTTAGCTATTTTATTAACTAATCACTTTAAATTAACCTCAAGTTATTTTGTATAACTATAAATGGGACTTATGAGTTTCGTCCAATAATTTTAAACATTTATAAAGTATTTATATAAAAATCGTTTGATTATCAAATGATGTTCATCAATATTTGTTTTTAAGTCATCATTTCTTTGCGTTCTGTTATGAGTCAGCGGTAAGTGGTAAATAAAAAAATAGAAAAAATCAGAATATTACTTATATAATTCATACGTCTTTAAGCTGACACAAAGAATTAAAACTAATTTGCAACGCAAAAACTCGGAGTTCGGGGTCGATTCCCTGCAGGTTATATAACACAGGTAGCCCATTGTGTAGCTTTTCTCTAATAAAAGCAAACAAACATCAATTCGTATTGAATAAAAAAGAAGGAAATTTTGTTTAAAAACATTATTTAACTTTGTTTGTACTTTTAAACTTATTATTGTTTACTCCAAGTGTAGTGTCTATTGAGATAACCAAACAAAACATGGAGGGCTCGAAATTATCACGAGATTCAAAATAGATGTACAAGATCCTTGAAACTTAAGATTCAGAATTAGAAAATGAATTATTGGAAAGACGTTGTAAAGTTACTTTTGAACTAATTAGAAGATATTCAAATCTCAACAAATTGTGACGTGTTTCTACCACTACATAGGAGAAAATACTTGAAAAAAAAATCGATAGGAACACACTCCGAGTGTAATAGGTGTATGATAACAGCAGATCAGATTGTGATGATTGCTGTTTATTTTCTTACATTGTAGAACGTGAAGCATCATACTTAATGTTAATACGTCTGCGATATTGCATAACAGTAAAACGTATAGCAATAATTATTTGTTTTTTATAAAGCGAATATTTTCATATGTGGTCAAGTTCTTGATTGAAAAACCAGAATAAGTGACGATATTTAAAGTGTTATGCTCGAGACAAAACCGAATGATTTCGTGACCCACTCAAACTATTTACAACTTCACCAAAAGAGATACAGCTCAGAAGGTTCAGCTCAAAAAGCTAGTTATAATTATAACGTATGCTGGTAAGTGCAAGTTGCTATTGCAAATCTGCGCTGACGTGGATATTATATAACATCATATTAGAATAAATGATATCACAGTAATTTTATTTCAATAACTCCTGTCACTTAAAATAAAGTGAGCAGGGTCATTTCCCTCCAAGTCTGCATTTTGAAATGTAACATATTGTTACGTCTCCGTTTGTTAATTGATTTTCCGTAACTTCGTTCCGGCGAAACTTAAGCGACACAAGTTCTTTCTTAATAAAAACTGGTTTATTCTTTCCGAATACAACTTTACCGATACACTCAACTTCAACAATCGCGCTAAACAAACACTATAACGAACGAACGTTAACTTCAACAATACGTCTCTCTCTGACAGCAGTTCAATTACTCATTACCTATCTACACACACATTACATTCCCCTCTTTTATATACCAGCCTTCCCTATATCTAGTAATTACTAGAGCATTCGCCAAAGTACAGGATAGTTCTAGAACGTGGCGTCACTGTAGTCATGTGACTCGCTGACGCAACACTGCCCCCTCCTTAATATTGTTCGTCCCGAACAATAACCACATATAATAAACCAATAACAATTAACAATAACTTAATTAACTGTACAGAATTACAAACACAAAATTACAATTCGACAAAGTCTCTTAATTTTACAGGACGTATCTTCTTCCGTACTGGTCTCCGTCTCATTGGCTTCTGCTTCATATGGGGTTCATCCACTTCATCAGTAAATGTCCCATCATCGGTAACAGTCACATCAGTGGTAGTAACTTCATCAAGAGCTTCACTGTTTCCCTTCTCAAAGCTGAGTAGAGTTTCTTCTTCGACGGTGGCTTCTTCAGGTGGCACGTCTTCAGCAGTGTCATTTGTTCTGTTTTCCACTTCGTCCCAACTGAAATGTCCTGGACCATGATAACGCCAAAGCCTGTTGGCATGCACCACTTTTGGCTTACCTCGCCGACCACATTTTATCCGGAAAGTCACGTCTGAGAGACGATCCACTATGTCGTATGGGCCTTCCCATGGAGAAGACAACTAAGGAGACTTCCCTTTGGTCTTCTGGGATTATACAACCATACCTTGTCTCCTGGTACAAAGCTGACTTCAGTAGATCTCTTATCATAAGTCAACTTCATCGAATCAGCAGACATTTTCAAGTTTGAACGCACTTGATGGTGAATATCATCCATCCTTTCCGATAACAGTTTCACAAACTCTGACACATTCTCAGGCAACTCTTCATAAGGTGGGCATCCTGTTTGCTTGGGTCCACTTTTAGCACTACATGTACTGCACCATTATTCCACATCTTGCCTCATACCTATCCAGTAAAATCTTTGTTGTAGGTGACTCAAT